CAAATCTTGATAGCAAAGTATTGTCATTCTACCTACTTTAACTGGTTACTTTTTTTTCCCCCTCATTTTTTTTTCTTACTTGGCTGTTAAGTCAATAAAGTGCTCTTAGGCTTGTGGTCAACAAAGTTATCTTATCCTTCTTGTTAGATGGATTGACATTTAAAAAAATTCCACTCAGCCTCCTAACACTATGGCCAATATTTTACACTCTTAAGTCGGTGAGAGTTGATGGTAAACTTGCTAGATCTTGCAAAGTCAAGTTGTCTCTGATATAAACTTTCTTCCCTTTCTTGACAATTAATCAACAAGTGGCCATTGAGTTTCCACCACAAATCTGTTACATGATAATGGCAAGCTTGTTCTGATAGCCATGGGGATTTTGTTTTTGCTTTTACATCTTTATTGGAGTATAATTGTTTTACAATGGTGTGTTAGTTTCTGCTTTATAACAAAGTGAATCAGTTATACATATGTTCCCATATCTCTTCCCTCTTGCGTCTCCCTCCCTCCCACCCTCCCTATCCCACCCCTCCAGGTGGTCACAAAGCACCGGAATTTAAGAAAAAAAAATGTCATGAAGAACCTAGGGGTAAGACAGGAATAAAGACACAGACCTACTGGAGAACGGACTTGAGGATATGGGGAGGGGGAAGGGTGAGCTGTGACAGGGCGAGAGAGAGGCATGGCCATGGGGTTTTAAACCAGATTTTCCCCAGAGTGAGAATCTGATTAAACAGATCTTCTGTGATAGTGCTAACTCTGCCCCTTCTTTCACAGATTCCCTACAGCAATTTCTCAGGGAGACTGGAGGATATAGTTAATTGCTTTTTCATATTTCTCCTCTGTGATGGTAAAGCCAACACATAAAACATAGAAATAATAATTTAAGCCCTAAAGAAACCTCTGGCAATTCAATGAAGAAAAATTCAAAATTATTAATTCATTTTAGTGCATTATCATTATAATTAACATTAAAATACTTAAAGCAATATCCCAATGTATTAACTTCCTTTTTCTTGAGAAGTGAATATTGGCCCACAAGGTATCATATGTGGGTGTATAATCTCATCAGTAGAGATCTGTTGTAAATCTTGTTCTATAACTTCAAAAAATCTGATAAATATGTCTCATGAAGTAAGTATTTGCTCAGATCATTAAAACACTGCCCTTTTGAGTGGTCGATAAAGTTAACTGATACGTTTTCTTAAATACTTTAAATGTCATTAAAAATACTTATGTTTTAAAGTAACTGATCTCTGCTGTTGGTAAAGAAAATAGAGATAAGGAGATAGAAAAAAAATCCATTATTTCATTTCTCAGAAATAACCACTATAACATTTTCAAAAAGTTTTATTACAAAATAATTTCAAATTTACAGAAAGTTTGTAAGAATAATACAGAGGACTTCTATGTACCCCTCATCTAGATTTTATATGCAGGGTATAGAAATATATATATATATATAAATATATATATTTCTATACCCTGCATATATAAAAATCTATTTCTTATATATATATATAAATGTATATATATTTACTGTGTTTTTCTGAATCATTTTCTGATATATTTCCTAAGAGCAAGGACATTCCATTACATAACTACAATTCTATGATGAAATTTGGGAAGTTTGGCATCAATACAACATCCTGATTTAAAATGCAATCCGTATTCAAATTTTGTCATTTTTTTCAATAATGTTCAGTATAACAATTTTCCCCTGATCCAGGGTTCAATCAAGAATCATATATAGAATTTAGTGGACGTGACTCTTTGGTTTCTTTTAATCTGGAACATTTCCTCAACCTTTCTTTATCTTTTATGACATTGACATTTTTGTGGAGAAGAGGCCAGTTGATTTCTAGAATGAGTCTCAATTTGTCTGATATTCCTTAAATTTGAAAGCGCTTTGAAAGAGTTATATAAACTCACTGTCAGCCCTGCCTCCCCTTCTCTCTTGAAATCCTAATTTACTCTGACTTTTGTCCCTACCATTCTTCCAAGATTGCTTTTATTCAGGTCATCAGTGATCTTCATGTCACAAAAGTCAAT